ATTTTTTCAAAATACACACGTTTAATGTGGATATTTGGAATAGCCCCACACGGCCAGTCAAAAGAGTTTAAAGGATTTTTATCAGTTTCTAATTGACAAAAAGTTCTTGATAAAACACAGGCTTTACACTGTGTGGAGTAACCCTGGGCACTCCATGGGCAGCTAAAGGTGCAGAAAAGAAATAGTTGTGATGGCAAGCAAAAAGTTTAGAAATGAATTGCAATGTGATTACTGGAATAAGTATTTTCTTGTAAGAGCAAGAGCAGATTCTTGGGCCTTCAAAGGAACATGGATTGCTCCCTCTCACAACCTTGAAGATTATTACATCCTAGCCCCAAACCCCTGCAGGACGGCAGGGGATGGTGACTTGCAGTCTGAGACATAGAACATTCTATATATCTTCACTTCTGAAACTCTTGCAGGATTGATGCTAAAGATATGGCCAGGATGCTAACCAAAATGTGTTTACAAAGTGAAGTCTGTCAGGATGGAGAGAATTTAGAAGTGACCATCCCACCAACCAGAGCAGATATCCTTTTTTATTTGTTGCTGTTTGTGTGATAGAATTAGAAGGGTATTTTTATGTTTGATTGTATGATAAAATAAGAGTATTTTTATGCTTGACTTTTTTATAGAATTATATTTTTGTTTTATGTTTAGTAAATTAAATTTTTATACTTTTAATTTACATTAAGCTAATATGCCCACCGGCAGACAGTGGCTTTGTCTGGGTCAGATGTGACAAAATTGTGTGTTCATAGCTGTACTTATGTGCATCTCATCTTCTCCATATTATTGAATTGAATATTGTTACAATAAAGTTAATTTATATCATCTTCAAGCAATATGTTATTCTTATTTAATTATGTATTAACATTAGGCATAAATATCTATGATTTTGTTTTTGTCATTGATTTCTTCCTTGACACTGGCCTACATATTTTGCACCAGTGTGACATAATGGAAGATGTGGCCATCGGCTATGGTTTCAACAATATAGTGAAGACTATACCAAACACAAACTGTATAGCTGAACAGGTCTGTTCTTTGATGGAATAGTGGGGCACAATATTCGGAAACCTGTTTTTTTTTATGTTTTGTAGTCACTAATCTCTTAACTGTCTATTATCAGCTTGAAAAACAAACAAATTTGATTTGTATGTTAGTCATATATTTGAAGTTTTAAGTTGGATAATTAAAATATTCACCCTACAAATTCTGAACCCCAGACAGGAGTAACCTTTTTCACATGCGAATGTACTACTTTTAAAAATAATTATTAATAATTTTTATTAGCCTGGAGGAAATTCACCTTACAATTAGAGTTGTTTCTAAGTATCATTTTAACCATTCTCTTCTCAAGTACCAAATCAATGTCATAGTAAAGAAGTAAAGTTTCCCTTTCAGACCTTGCGATCTCTAGGGCAGTTGATGTAAAGGTCATCTGTTTCTGTGGCCCACTGTTAACGAGGGTGTCATGTGGCCAACACAACGACTAACCGCCTTTACAATGTCTGGTACCCATTAGAGCTAAGTGGACTCAGAAGCAGCTAAAGATCCTGGAAATAAAAATCCCAGTCTTTACCAGCATACGAACGCAGTACCTTGGTTCGGAAGCCAAACAGTTTACTGCTCAGCCACAGTGCCTCCTTATCAATGTTATATTCTTGATTAAATGTTTCTGTGTTGAATTGTATGTTGTCACCTGTTCATATTTTCTTCTTCCATCTAGTTCCCTATCAACAAATTGTCTGATTTACTAAGGAGAGATGTAGCAGCTTGTGGATTTACAGAGGTTCTAACATTCGCTCTGGTAAGGAGATTCAGCTTTAGTCACAATGATCTTAGGCTTTGATATGCTAAGAGCAGTTACTGTCTCCATCCACTTTTCCCTATATCATTAGTATGTCATTGTAACCATCTGTCCTGTTACTTTCAGTGCTCTAAATCCGATATTGCTGACAAACTTGGTAAAAAAATTGAAGACACTAAAGCAGTTCATATTGCCAACCCCAAAACTGCAGAGTTCCAGGTATACAGATCTTTTTTTCTTTTTAAATATAGAAATCTCTTTGAGATGGCAATTAAAACTGTATTGTGAGTCATCATAAGTCTTGAGAATATTTTTAAACATAATTATTAGATCTAATTTTTCTTGCAATAACTATATTTTTGAATTGAAAATATTTCCACATTTGTTCAGTAATTAAAGCTTTTCCCCAATTAAGGTTAAATAATTCAACTTTAATCCATAATCAACCAGTAATACACAAATCCTGACAGTAACACTTTTCTGTTAGTTAGACCATCAGTGTTTATTGAAACATACAGATGTGCTTGTAAAGTCTTTCAGAAGGTTGAATTAGTGATTTTAATTATTTTTTTTTCATAGAGAGAACAATTTTTTAGCAGAAATGTTAAGCTTAGTTTACAGCACTTAACATATTAGCTGTTCAAATATTTTAAGGTTAATATAGAATAATTAAAAGATGACGTGTTTCTTATCTAGGTGGCCAGGACTACACTGTTGCCAGGTATTTTGAAAACTATCTTCCACAATAAAGGCATGTCATTGCCACTTAGGCTGTTTGAAATATCAGACGTCATTTACCAAGATCCTTCAAAAGGTATTTGATGATGTTTATTTTATAAATTCTGATTAGCATATTTCTTAGGCACAAAGCAGGCAGCTCAGTTCACTGTGGATCAGTCTCTTTTATAGACATCTGGGGGAGGGGGGTATCTTGTGAAGGTTGCTATGCTGCCCTTAGGCATTCAGCAAACACAACTCAGCTCAAGTCAGGCTTGGAACTTAAGACCCCCTTGATAAGTAAGCAAAGTAGTTTATGTACTGAGTCACCCGAACCTTGTTATAAATGTCATTAAAACACTGAATTTGAACTTCACATTGTAAGAAATCAATGACACGTCATTTGTTGTCCTCTGCAGACGTGGGAGCTAGAAATGAGAGGAGGTTGTGTGCTGTCAACTACAACAGGTCGTCAGAGTTTGAGGTCATTCACGGCCTTCTAGACAGGGTGATGCAGTTGGTTGAGGTGCCTTTTGGTGGCCCAATAGGCTATGAGCTGGAGTCCGGAGATGGTAATTATATTTCATCTTTTTTTAAAAAAACATGTTTTCAAACTTTTTACAATTCTGCTAAGAATTTTCAGTAGACATTAATAATCAAGTTGAAGAGAAATGCCATAATTGTTTTATTCAAGCAGTTTTTTTTACAAACTGCAGAATGAAACACATTTTTCAAGAATGTCATGCCAATTTAAGCCATATTAGCACACCGTCATTTAATATATAATATATGTTTTGGTTTAAAAATGGCTTGAAATTGTGTATTTGAATTATTTTATTTTTATGCAAAAGAAATATACCAATACGGGAGAATGCTATGACCCCTATAGATCTAATTCAGTCCTTAGTCATTTGATCTTCTGACTTTCAGATCAAATTAATATTATGCAAATTAATATTATGCCCAGTGTAATTACTCTGCTTGGTGTCCACAAGCAGTATTTCAACCTGGCATTCTATTTTTTTAATTCATATTTCCAGTTTGTTTCATCGCAAAATAACCCATCTTCTTTTCACTAGAAAGCTTATTCTATCATTTCATGTAAACATTCTTGCAACCACTATTGTACTGCTTTTATACAAAACAATTTTTTGTCAGTTAACTTAAGTTTAGAAATAAGGATTCAAACAATTCTATGTAATCTAACTCTATAATAATTATAAAGTCCATTTGTTATTTTTGTTATTTTTTTCTGCCAAGCTTATATCTTGTAAAAATTTTGACCACATTATTTCTTCTACACCACGTCTTAGATCAGGTTGAAACTTTGCACAATCATTCATTGACGAAGACAATACATGAATCAGTAAAAAAAATACCAATTAATCAATTAATTACTGATAATTGATTATTTTGTTTTATACCAACAAGGGAAATGAATTCTTCAGACGTAGCTAAATATGTGGGGTTTAGTTTAATTTCTAAGATCAAGTTAAAAATTTAAGCAATTATTTATTGTACCTATTAAGACATGAATTAATTAAAAAAATTAACCAGTTAGTCAAATAATTATTGGTAATTAACTATTTTGTTTGATATTGAAAAAGGGAAATAATTTGTACCTTTTAAAAGATAATTGTAAGTGGGAAGTTCTTGTACTTAAGATAAGTTTTTTTTGTTGTTTTTTTTTAATAAATATTTTTATATTATTGCTTGCTTGCTTGCTCACTCAACACAGATCCAAGTTTCTTTCCTGGACGTTGTGCCAAAATTGTGTGCCGAGGTAAAGTGATTGGTACATTGGGAGTTCTCCACCCTGATGTGATAACAAAGTTTGAGCTCAATTTGCCTTGTGCAGCTATGGAGATATCTGTGGAGCCATTCCTTTAGGATTCTTTGATCAGTTTAGTTTTTATCCCATTTGGCATCTAGAATTTTTATCCAGTTCAATGGAGAAATAAATGATGAATAGAAAACTCTTGTGTTATTGTGTATTGTTTCTTTAATTGAAGCAAAAAACATTTTAAAATAATCAATCCTTTTTCTTCTCTTTTACAAATGTTTGAAATACAAATACTTTTAGAAATACTTTTAGAAATACTTTTAGAAATACTTTTAGAAATACTTTTAGAAATACTTTTAGAAATACTTTTAGAAATACTTTTAGAAATACTTTTAGAAATACTTTTAGAAATACTTTTAGAAATAATTTTAGAAATACTTTTAGAAATACTTTTAGAAATACTTTTAGAAATAATTTTAGAAATACTTTTAGAAATACTTTTAGAAATAATTTTCAATACGACACCAGGTAAATCTAAAGCTTGAAATTATTTTTTAGCAATGTTTTAGTGAAGTTTTAGTTAATAAAATGGAGATCTAGAAATGATAAATTTGGCCATAAAAATTGTTATTCCTAGGTTCAAGTCCTTGTTGAGACTGAGAATGTTTTCTTTTAAAGACTCTTATTGAGTCTAAGGTGGTCAGGCATTGTGCTAGTGATATAACATCCTTGTAAGCCGTGGCCTCCATAAAACAGCCAAACGTTAATATGGATATTTTCCCAACATTACCCTATGTAGAAGCCCCATTTGTTCCAATATTATCAAACTTAATATAATGATGTGTCATTTAGGGGCTTGATTAGTAAAGTTAAACTTCCTCAACTGTAGCAGTGTTTGTAATAAGTTGTTAACATATGCTACACTAATTGCTTAAGATATCTCAGCTAAATTTATATATAATGAATATGACAAGCAAAACTTTACATTTTGATAAAAAAAAGGAAGACATCTCTTTCTAAGCGCTCTTGAAAAAAAAAATGCTTTGTATGTGTAATCCGTTTTGTTTTGAATGATTCTGTTTGTATTTGATTGTGTTATTTAAATGTACTTGTCTATATTATTGCTTTGGAAGTGAATAAAATTCTTGACCAATAATGCTGACTAAATCTGCTTTTCTTCTTTCTGGTTAAATGTACAGAATTTTGTGTTTTTCTTTCTAACCATAGGGAAAAGATGTATTGGTCTATTTGGGCTTACAATATATATTTGGTTCCTTTGTCTGACCTTAAAGACCAAATATTATTTAATACTGTCTACTTCCTTCCCGTAAGCGCTATAAAGATAAACCCAGGCGCCATTTTGCCCTCACTGGCATAGAGGAAAGTAGCTGGCAGCATGTGGGCTCTGAAAGAGACAGACGCAGGACATCCCTTCGAGACCCAAAGAAAAGTTCCTTTTGAAGACAGAGGGAAAGAAAACTTAGACCACCGGCGTACAACGGCATTGTCTGCATTAGGTATTGAAAAATATGTAGGTCGCTACTGGGTTTGCGTAGTCATGTGAAACACTGCACAGTTATCCTTAATCTTCAGAATCAAAGACATCGCCATTACTTTACTCTTCCTTAATCTTGGGCCTTGAAGACAGAATGGATTTTTTATTATTTAATGTTCATTTAAATTACCTTACCAAATGCTGAACTTTCAATTTATTTTTTTTCGCAGTTCTGATTTTTTTTTATTCTAACACACACACACACAGTTCTCATTTAGGATCAAGGTTTTAAGTATTATTTAATATTTTAAAAAATAATGACATTGATATTATTGTTGAGTATTCAGCCTTGAACTAGGCTAGTGTTGGAGGATGTCTGCATCACGTTGTGTTGCTCTCTGTTATAGACCAGTCAACATCTCCTGAAGTACTGTGTCATCTCGCCTGCCTGTGAGGTGGTCACCTGTAACAGCCAAATAAAAATCAGTTTCTACAATTATTATTACATTTATTACCATAGTTTGTTGTTTTTTTTTCCGAAGTTTCCTTCAGAATTGAAGATTAATATACTCTAGCCCAGTGATGCCCAACCTAATTCAACCTGCAAGCCAAATTAATTTCCGAGACTCGTGTCGGGGGCCACATGACCGAAAAGGTACAAAAAACGAAATGAAATTGACCTAAAACAATTTTAATAGAAACCGGTTGATCTAGTAGTTACTACTTACTGTGATTACATTAATTAATGGGATATTTTTTTTTGTTTCCGTGGGAAACTAGTCTCATTTCTCTACTTAAAATGTGAGCAAAATTATAGCTAGCTAGTCAACGATTCATTTTCTTGCCTCTTTTTGATAAATATTCCAATCGATCCTCCTATTTCTAGGAGTAGTTGAAAAAAAAACTAAGAATGATGTTAATTTTGATATTTGTTTTATAATGCCGATTATCTGTTGTTTAAAAAAAAAAACAACGGCTACACTTTCTATACAACTCAAATAAGTTGGCTTATTATCGTTGCCACAAAAAAATCCGTTCACTTTTCCTGGTAAATTCTAAATTCTACTTGAACTCTCCAATTTCATAAACGAATAAATGATTAAGGTCATGGTGTCAATTTGCCAATTCATCAGAGGTACCTTAGGTTTCAAAGGTTGGCATGGCCAGGGGTGTCAATGGGGTTAAGCTCCCATTGTCTATAAAATACTCTAAAAGGCATGCGTCTCAAATAGCCTCTGACAACTAAGTCCAGCACCTGGCCTGCTCGTGTGGCTTAGATACTAAGCCCGGCGAAACTGCTCTTACTAACAGGTGAAGGCGGATACCTGGCGCCACAAAACCGGGAGCTTCGGGCAGATGGAGCTCGTCAGCCTAGTAAGGCAGTTCATCTAGGAGAGGGGTACTCTGACTTCAAACCCCCGCTGCCTTGCGGTACTGAGGCTTCAGGAGGCAACCTCGAGGAGAAATCAGGAGTGAAGCTCCTTAGGCGTTGGGAGTATCAGCTATGAAATTCCCTCCGGCAGCTTCTGCAACTGAGTTGGTGCAAAATGTAATGCGATGCGTTCCTTTCGATCACATCAGCAAGGTCGAGAGAGGGATCATGACGCATGGGCCACCCATGACCCCTTTATTTAAGGCCCAGGAATGCGCACCGGAGAGGAAACTCTGGTGCTGCTGCAAAGGGGCTAAAACAACACGGGAGACAACAGTTACGGGTTATAAATCCAACTTGATTGGCGTAATGTATGGACGCCACGGGTTGTCTCTGACGGTGGGAGAGGTCTTCGCGCCTCACTGATCAGCTACCGCCCGCCTAAACCTGGGCAGCCCCCAGTCAGTTAGGTGCTGATCCGCCACAGCCTGCCTGCTCTAATGGGTGCTTAGAGCTTAGTTTAAAACGAAAGTAGGCTGGAAACTTGCACCACGCAACAAAAGAAGAAAAATTAAACTGAAAAAGAAAATCATGGGACTGGCCACTTGGAATGTCAGGACAATGTGTCCTGGTCTCACTGATGATCTCAGGCAGATCGACGACGCAAGGAAGACGGCAGTTATAAACAACGAGCTAAAAAGGCTACATATTGACATTGCAGCCCTGCAAGAAACAGGACTGGCCGAAAACGGCATGCTCCGAGAGACTGACTACACTTTCTTTTGGAAAGGGAAAGCACAGGATGAGACTCGAATACATGGTGTGGGCTTTGCTGTCAAGAACAGTCTTCTTCCCATGATAGTCCCTCCAGTTGGTGGCTCGGAACGGCTACTAAGCATAAGTATGATGACAGCATCTGGAAAAGTCACTCTAATTAGTGCCTATGCCCCCACACTATGCTCGCTTCAGGAGGACAAAGACAAGTTCTATAGAGACCTCAAAGAAGCCATTGCAAACATTCCTCAAAAAGAACATATGAACCTTCTAGGTGACTTCAATGCCAGAGTAGGATCAGATCACACTACCTGGCCAGACTGCCTTGGGCTTTTTGGAATCGGAAAGATGAATGAGAACGGACAAAGACTGCTTGAATTCTGCACATACCATAAGCTCTGCATTACCAACACATACTTTAGAACAAAACCACAGCACTGTGTCTCATGGAGGCACCCTAGGTCTGGACACTGGCACCAGCTGGATATGATACTGACACGAAAAAAGGACATTGGAAATATACTGCTGACACGTAGCTACTAAAGCGCGGATTGTGATACTGATCATACTTTAGTGTCCTGCCGGACAAGACTGCTGCCAACTAAGATCCACACATCACAGGGAAAAAGAAAATCACGCCTGAATACCACTAGCACAATAAATCCTGATCTTTGCACCGAATTTGAGAACAAATTAGAGGAAGCTTTTAAAAACTTCTCTGTGACTGAGGTAGAAAAAAGCTGGATGTTTATGCGTGATACAATCTACCAAACATCATCACTGGTCTTTGGAAACAAAACCAAGAAAAGCGAAGACTGGTTTGAAGCTTGTCTACCAGAAATAGAAACTGCGAACAAGAGAGCAGCCATGTTAATCTACAAGAAGGATCCCACCCCAAGAAACTTAAAAAGGCTCAGAGTTGCACGTAATAATGCCCAAAGAGTAGCGAGACAATGTGCTAACAAATACTGGCAGGAGCTATGCGAAGATATTCAATCTTGTGCCGACTGTGGTAACATAAGAGAACTATATGAGGGCATGAGAAAAGCCTTTGGAACTCACACCAGCAAGTGTGCTCCGCTCAAGTCAAAAGATGGCTCAATCATCAGCGATCGTGTGCTGCAAATGGAACGATGGGTAGAACACTATGCAGAGCTCTACCAGATTGAAAACGCCATCTCACCAAATGCTGTTTCCAACTTCCCATCACTTCCAGTTTTGACGGAATTAGACGAAACGCCCTCAGTAAAGGAGATGAGCATTGCCATTGACATGCTTGCACATGGGAAAACACCCGGAGGAGATGACATTCCTGCTGAAGTCATTCAGGCTGGAAAACATGCCCTAATCAAACCACTCCATGAACTGCTAAGCTTGTGCTGGGAACAAGGAATGGTCCCCCAGGAGTTGAAAGACTCCAACATAGTTACAATTTATAAAAATAAAAGCGACCGCTCTGATTGTAACAATTACAGAGGCATCTCACTGCTTAGCATAGTCAGAAAGGCTTTTGCTAGAGTATTACTAAAGCGATTACAGATCCTGGCAGATCGTGTTTATCCAGAGTCGCAGTGTGGCTTTAGGGCAGGTAGATCTACAACAGATATGATTTTCTCTCTGCGGCAGCTACAGGAGAAGAGCAGAGAACAAAAGCAGCCCCTCTTCAAAGCATTTATTGATTTGACCAAGGCCTTTGACCTTGTTAGCAGAAGCGGTCTGTTTGCTGTACTAGAGAGAATCGGCTGCCCAAATAAGTTAAGAAAACTAGTGTCAGCTTTTCACGAAAATATGCAGGGCACTGTTCAGTTTGAAAGTTCTTCCTCCAGGCCATTCTCCATTAAGAGCGGTGTAAAACAAGGATGTGTACTGGCCCCTACACTATTTGGCATCTTTTTCTCAGTTGTACTAACCAGTGCTTTTAAATCCGTGGAAGACGGAATATATATCCATAGCAGATCCGATGGAAGGCTCTTTAACCTGGCACGTCTTAAAGCCAAAACGAAAAGGCGTCGTATCTTGATAAGGGAGCTGCTGTTTGCCGATGACGCGACACTCGTATCTCACTCACAAGGAGATCTACAGAAGCTAGTGAACGCCTTAGCAGCTGCTTGTCAAGAGTTTAGCCTTACTAGAAGTCTCTCCAAGACCGAAATCCTGGCACAAGACGTCGCAGAAATACCCATAATACAAGTTGGGAACCACACCCTTTCAGTGGTGCAGGAATTTACCTACTTGGGTTCAACAATTGTCATTAACCTAGACTTAGACATCGAGCTGACAAAAAGGATGGGAAAAGCTACCACAGCATTGACAAAACTCTCCAAGCGCGTCTGGGAAAATGGTAAATTGACCACAGCGACCAAAATCCTAGTCTACAACGCCTGTGTTGTGAGCACTCTCCTTTAT